TATCTGCTCTTCTCTGTCATGTATACAGGTTTTATGTCTATATCTGCTCTTCTCTGTCATGTATACATGTTTTTGTGTCTATATCTGCTCTTTTCTGTCATGTATACAGGTTTTATGTCTATATCTGCTCTTCTCTGTCATTATACAGGTTTTCTGTCTATATCTGCTATTCTCTGTCATGTATACAGGTTTTTCTGTCTATATCTGCTATTCTCTGTCATGTATACAGGTTTTTATATATATATCTGCTCTTCTCTGTCATGTATACAGGTTTTTCTGTCTATATCTGCTATTCTCTGTCATGTATACAGGTTTTTATATATATATCTGCTCTTCTCTGTCATGTATACAGGTTTTTATGTCTATACTTGCTATTCTCTGTCATGTATACAGGCTTTTATGTCTATATCTGCTCTTCTCTGTCATGTATACAGGTTTTTATGTCTATACTTGCTATTCTCTGTCATGTATACAGGTTTTTATGTCTATATCTGCTCTTCTCTGTCATGTATACAGGCTTTTTATGTCTATATCTGCTCTTCTCTGTCATCTATACAGGTTTTTATGTCTATATCTGCTCTTGTCTTCTTAAGTAAAATGATGATTTAATGTTCCTTTAACACCCAGAATTTCACAGTCAATTCGATTAGAATATTGTCTGCATTACAAAAACAGCTTACCAGACAAACCAACAAGAATTATGAAATTGTTTTATACGTAATACTGTTAACATACAAAACACCCATAAATGTGAAAAACCTAATAAGATCAACTAACATAACTAAAATTAGAAATGATATATATATATATAATATATATATATTTTGTTTAGAAGACGAAAGAAAAAAACATGCTCTAGAAATAAAAATTTTCGAGAACTTATCCTACATTTACAAAAACGTATACTCTGGCATGATTACAAATTTATCATCAACATCAATTACAAGGTCTATGGAATCTAACGAACCTTGATTTCCCTTGCGTGTCTTTCATTCAAAACGTATACTCTGGCATGATTACAAATTTATCATCAACATCAATTACAAGGTCTATGGAATCTAACGAACCTTGATTTCCCTTGCGTGTCTTTCATTCAAAACGTAACTGTGTTTATCGTAAAAATGAATATTTACCACCATCTCTAACTTTGAATTTTGACCAGAAGCAGGCAGTAAGCAGCACCTTAACACTCACAGTCTACGTTAAGGGATTGACTGTCACTCTTATAGTGATATCGCACGGATTCAAACATGGCTGGCCAGTACCAAAATCTACGGTAAGGCCAAACCACACCCCTCAAAATAGAAAAATATATGATTTGAGCTAATAAAGGTCGCACTTCACAATTCGAAGATTAATTAAACAAGAATACAAGAAAACCTAACTTTGTTAACTAATCATATCTACCTAGTGACAAGTAAAATAATAAGAGAAAAATTCAGATTAAAAACTCCAAACTGTATTTTCATAATCCAAGGAATATGGATAGTATTGTTCTTCAACAAATACACTGCCATAACACATCAACTAATACACTGCCATAACAGAGATCCATACAAAGCTTATATAGTTTCGTCTCAAAGTACCTCTGGCTAACAAAATTTAATAAAAAACTTAGGTGTGAAATAAAAGGTGCGGGCAAAAAGTATTGAGCATGCGACTTAAAGGAACGCAATCAGAATTGGCGGCCAAACTGGTAGCTACACTAATAACATTGATAAGAATTTTACAGCAAATATTAACTCATTAGTTAGCTAGGCCACGTTTTTTGTTCAACTTGGAGCACGATGGTGTGTGTGTGTGTGTATAAAACAAGTCACAGCGAGTAAGAAAGTGACACTCGATAATAACCAACGTTAGCTTTAGGATCTCAATCCTATTATTCGGAACAGACCTATACAGAACCAATCAGATTATTTAAAATATATGGTGGTAGCTTTTTTCTCTAAAACAGTGTTAATAACTTCCTTTATACCAACGCCATGGAAACTAGATTAACAGTTTCTTGTCATCACCCGCCTGCACTCGGTACAGCTGTATCAAGCATCTTTATTTACGCTAATTGCTTAAGCTAATATCACGTAACACTAAACGCTCTTTAGTTAGGATAATTTTATAAAATCTGTGCTTAAATGTTGGCAATGAATAATAACCGTCCACCCGTATGATTCTTTTAAAAACTTGAGCTAGAAACTGCTTGGTTGGCCTAATCAATACTTGTGTATCTGCACGTGCTTTCACCATACAGCTTGGTTAATAGAGGATGAAAGTATAAATGTTTTAATTTTCTTATAAAAATATATGAAATTCCTTAAAAAAAGAAACGCATATATCGGCCAATATTATTTTTTATTATAGATGTTAAACAAAATATTAGAATATGTTCATCTACTTTTCTTGTTAAATTTATAAAAACATAAATTATGCAGATTCCTTACTTCATTTTGCGTCTACTTTCTTCAATTCTAGAGTAAGTTAAAAAGTTTTGTCTCTGCAAATGTAATTATGATTTCCCCAGAGGCGCAATTAATCATATTATATCATTGGAAAATATTGCTTTGTGATAACATAACGAAATAAGAAAATAGTAGCCTAATGGTGAGTGTGCTGAGCTGCGGATCAGAGGGTATACAGAAGATGTAGATGACTGATTGCCCTCTGGTCAGCAGTACAAAGTTAAAGATAGCTAAATTTCTGAACTTAGGGTATTTGATCTGGCCGCCTTGTCCATGTGGCACCATTCCCAATGTTGCCTGCGCAGGTGATTTAGTCAACTGAAGCTACATACAAGTTAGTATTTTCCAAACGCTGGTTTTTATTTAATGATAATATTATAATATTATTGCAGAAGACGATCTGCCTTGTTCTGGTGTCTTAGTACCTGTAATATCCGCATGAATATAGTTCCACATTCTGCTAATTACGTTTGTGTCCAATTTTCAACAGACTGTTGTGACTACATTGGATTCAATTCATATGATGGCTCTTCACATGAGTGGAACATTCAAATACTTTCTTTGAGGTATAGCCATGAAAAGTGAAATAAGATTGAGTGAAATAACCGTATATAAAGAGAGTTAATGAATTTTTATATAACAATTCTCTAGTTTCTTTGTTGCGCTTGGAACGACTTATTATTCTATTGTAGAATGTGCTCAATCTGACAGCTTTTACTACACACTAATGCTTGAAACCATCAATTTTAACGTAACACACTTCTGAAAATGATAGTGAGGTCAACCTCAGACAATATCTATTGCCATAATGTCAACAGATCTTCCATTATACATGGATGTCTTATTCCAAGACCGTGTTTAAAAACAGACCAAAAGCACTTTGTTAACTTCCAAACCTTACTTATTATTTTACCAAGGGAATAAAGAGATATGTCTCCCCTCATTTCAATGGCTATTCAGGCTAGAGAGTTTGATTTTGCAATCGTAGCCTTCACCTTGTAGATAAGATATTCCCCTGGAGTGTCTTGGGTGTGGTTTAGGAACGAACCCATTTTCAACACTCTTCTGGTTCCATTGAGAACACTGAGATCATCTTCAAAATGTTTTACCCTTTGTTTCGATATCCATTATCACAGTACTACAGCCATATAAATAAGTTATTGGCAGCTATGCATTGTCGAGTAGTTGTGAATTCACAGTGATCCAACTATTCAAGTGCTAAACATGCCACTTATGCCTGTGATATGGTTCGAATTGCGATGACAAACACAACTGCTTCGTATTTTCTTGCCGAGTTTAAAACGACTGAATGATCAGTCATTTTCGTATCAAATCACATGATTTATTATTATGGAACTGATCGGCTATATTTTATAATAGCGGTTTTGTCTAGTCATACCTATAGCTTACAACTTACTATTATACTTGTCTAGTCATAACTATAGCTTACAACTTACTATTATACTTGTCTAATCATAGCTATAGCTTACAACTTACTATTATACTTGTCTAGTCATAACTATAGCTTACAACTTACTATTATACTTGTCTAATCATAGCTATAGCTTACAACTTACTATTATATTTGTCTAGTCATAGCTATAGCTTACAACTTACTATTATACTTGTCTAGTCATAGCTAAGCTTACAACCTACTATTATACTTTAATTGTTTAGTTTATTTCATGACAAGCTGTTCTGTTACAACATTCACCTGCTAATCGACATAAAAACTATTCAATCAAAGAAGGCTAGCTAGAAGGAATTCAATCAAATCTTTAAATGATTGTACTTACACTCTGTTAGACGGTATCATTTGGCAAGGGAAATCGAAAAGCTTCTCTAGTTGCCAGAATAATAAAATCTACTAATGTGTATATAAGAACAGCTGTTATCCTTAAAGCGAAAATACGATTATTATTATTTTTACATCGAAAATCATAACACTTCTAAGTAATGTTTTACCTACAAAAATATTTATTATTAAACAAATAAATATTTCTCAACTATAGATAACACCTTTACGTGTAATATGTCACATTGTTGAGAATTTAAAAAACTCGTGTATAGTTTTTATACAGTTTAGTTCTTTCTGAGAGTGGAATGTATTTTTATTTACTCATTGGACTTCAACTGTAAACTATTGACAGAAGTGCACATGGGAAATTTAGGAAGTATATTTATAAAATAAATCTAAATTCACACTACACTTAAATCAACTTCAGATAATAAACGTTAAACCTTGTTTTGCTAAAGAAATAGATGTACAAAATAGGGACTAAGCAGTGTCAAATATAATGTTACATATCTTACCAACATTCATGGAATCTTTCTTTTACAAACTTCATGAAATAGCAGAAAGTGACAAACCGCTTATCAAACTGATCAGCATATAAACGTAAGGAACGTTAGATGTTGGTCGAGGAATCTGAGGGAATTTTTAACAGGTCAGCTGAAACGAATGAATCTAATGTTCCATGAGCCTCAGAGTTAAAAACAATATGTATATATTTGGAATTTCCCATCAGCAAATTCTCGTCCTACCTTTTCACTTTCTACAGGATCCCAGGTTTTGTAAGCATCACTGGTCCTGTTTGGTCTTTTGTTATTCGCCCAGTTGATAGTAGCTTCATTCTCTTTAGGAATATTATTCGATGTGCTTTTACCTAGGAGTTGCATGAGGGAATGCAAATATTTTAACCAGTATTTGTTTTATCTAAAAATAGTTTAATATAAATAATACTTCTGGTACATGGTAACCTACATCCATTCATACATAATAACTTATAAAACTTATAAGAAAAGATATAAAACAAAGACGGTCTTATTCTCGCAAATGGATAGGTATTTTACAATGACAAAAGAAGGTTTTAATAACTGTCACAATAATAAGTAAATAAAAATATATATTTATGAAATCCTAAGAGAAAAATCTATTATATGCTTCTTACCTTTCTGTCGGCGGTCCTGAGCTTTAACTTTCATCACAATGACGATAACACAGGCAATGACTACCAATCCTGCTACTATTGCAACGATAACGATTAAAACTGGACTAAAACGCATCTGCCAAACAGCATCTGAAGACAGAAATAATAATAGATAAAAACTTACGTTTTTGTTTGTTTGTTGTAAAGTACAAATGAACTATCTGTGTCCTGCCTACCACGGGTATCGAAAACCGATTTTTAACGTTATAAGCCTTCAGACTTACTACAAATACAACGTGGATCTAAGTTTATTTTGACAACTAGTTAAAAGCACCGCACTACATGTGTCGGGTACATTACAGTAATAAAATAGTTTATTAATATCTTTCATGAATCCATAAATGAAAATAGAAATTGACCTTCTAGAATAGGCGAAGGTTATTTATATACGGTAGTAAATAAACATTACACAACAACAAAACACACGTTATAACAGTTATATACCTGGGCTGCACAACAACAAAACACACGTTACAACAGTTATATACAGTGGGCTGCACAACAACAAACACACGTTACAACAGTTATATACCGTGGGCTGCACAACAACAAACAC